AGGATGTTGAGCACTTTCTCAAGTGCCTCTCAGCCATTTTAGACTCCTCTATTGAAAACTCTCTATTTAGTTCTGCAGCCCACTTCTTAATTGGGTCCTTTGATGTTTTGGAGACTTGCTTCTTGAGTTCTTTGTAAATTTTGGAGATCAACCCTCTGTCAGATGTGGGATTAGTGAATATTTTTTCCCATTCTGTAGGCTGCCTTTTTGTCTTGCTGACTGTGTCCTTTGCCTTACAGAGGCTTCTCAGTTTCAGTAGGTCCCATTTATTAATTGTTGATCTCACTGTCTGTGCTACTGGTGTTATGTTCAGGAAGCTGTCTCCTGTACCAATTCTTTCAAGGGTACCACCCACTTTCTCTTCTAAGAGGTTCAGTGTGGCTGGATTTATGTTGAGGTCTTTGATCCATTTGGACTTAAGTTTTGTGCATGGCGATAAACATGGATCGATCCGCATTTTTCTACATGCCAGTCTCCAATTATGCCAGCACCATTTGTTGAAGATGCTTTCTTTATTCCATTGTATATTTTTAGCTTCTTTGTCAAAGATCAGATGTTCGTACGTGTGTGGGTTAATACCCGGATTTTCAATTCGATTCCATTGGTCTGCCTGTCTATTTTTGTGCCAATACCAAGCTGTTTTCAGGACTATAGCTCTATAATAGAGCTTGAGGTCAGGGATAGTGATGCCTCCGGACGTTGCCTTGTTGAACAGGGTTGTTTTGGCTATCCTGGGTCTTTTGTTTTTCCATACAAAATTGATTATTGTTCTTTCAAGGTCTGTGAAGAATTGTGCTGGGATTTTAATGGGGATAGCATTGAATCTGTAGATTGCTTTTGGCAGGATTGCCATTTTTACTACATTGATCCTACCTATCCAAGAGCATGGGAGATCTTTCCATTTTCTGAGGGCTTCTTTAATTTCTTTCTTTAAAGATTCAAAGTTCTTACGATACAGGTCTTTCACTTGTTTGGTTAGCGTTACCCCAAGGTATTTTATGTTGTTTGTGGCAATTGTAAAGGGTGATGTTTCTCTGATTTCTCTTTCAGCCCTTTTATCATCTGTATATAGTAGGGCTACTGACTTTCTTGAGTTGATCTTGTAACCTGCCACTTTGCTGAAGGTGTTAATCAGCTGTAAGAGTTCCCTGGTAGAGTTCTTTGGGTCATTGATGTAAACTATCATATCGTCTGCAAACAGTGAAAGTTTGACTTCTTCCTTCCCAATTTGTATCCCCTTGATCCCCCTTTGTTGTCGTATGGCTATAGCTAGAACTTCAAGTACCATGTTGAAAAGGTATGGAGAGAGTGGACAGCCTTGTTTTGTTCCTGATTTTAGAGGAATTGCGTTGAGTTTCTGTCCATTTAGTTTGATGTTGGCTGTTGGTTTACTGTATATGGCTTTTATTATGTTTAAGTATGTCCCTGTTATCCCAGATCTCTCCAAGACCTTTATCATGAAGGGGTGTTGGATTTTGTCAAAGGCTTTTTCAGCATCTAGTGAGATGATCATGTGATTTTTGTTTTTCAGCTTGTTTATATGGTGGATTACGTTGATGGATTTTCGTATGTTGAACCATCCCTGCATCCCTGGGATGAAACCTACTTGATCGTGGTGAATGATTGTTTTGATGTGTTCTTGGATCCGATTTGCCAGTATTTTATTGAGTATTTTTGCATCAATGTTCATGAGGGATATTGGTCTGAAGTTCTCTTTCTTGGTTGTATCTTTGTGTGGCTTGGGGATCAAGGTTATTGAAGCCTCATAGAAAGAGTTTGGCAAAGACCCTTCTGCTTCTATTGTGTGGAACACTTTGAGAAGAATTGGTATAAGCTGTTCTTTGAATTTGTGGTAGAATTCTGCACTGAGGCCATCTGGACCTGGACTTTTTTTGGTTGGGAGACTTTTGATGACTGCTTCTATTTCCATAGGGGTTATAGGTCTATTTAAATTGCTTATCTGTTCTTGATTTAGTTTTGGCAAATGATAGCTGTCCAGGAAGTCATCCATTTCCTTTAAATTTTCGAATTTTGTGGAGTACAGGTTTTCAAAGTATGACCTAATGATTCTCTGGATTTCCTCAGAGTCTGTTGTTATGTCCCCCTTTTCATTTCTGATTTTGTTAATTTGCGTGTTCACTCTCTGCTGTTTGGTAAGTTTGGACAAAGGTTTGTCTATCTTGTTGATTTTCTCAAAGAACCAACTCTTCGTTGCATTGATTCTTTGTATTGTTTTCCTGGTTTCTACTTTGTTGATTTCAGCCCTCAATTTGATTATTTCCTGGCGTCTACTCCTCCTGGGGAGTTTGCTTCTTTGTGTTCTAGAGCTTTTAGCTGTGATGTTAATTCTCTGGTATAACTGTTTTCCTGTTTCTTCATGTGAGCACTTAGTGCTATGAACTTCCCCGTAGCACTGCTTTCAAAGTGTCCCATAGGTTTGGGTATGTTGTGTCTTCATTCTCATTGAATTCGAGGAAGTCTTTAATTTCTTTTTTTATTTCCTCTTTGACCCAGGGATGGTGCAGTTGAGCATTATTCAATTTCCATGAGTTTGTAGGTTTTCTGCAATTTGTGTTGTTGTTGAATTCTAATTTTAAGGCATGGTGGTCTGATAAGATGCATGGAGTTATTCCAATTTTTTTGTAGCTGCTGAGGTTTGATATGTTGCCAAGTATGTGGTCGATTTTTGAGAAGGTTCCATGTGGTGGTGAGAAGAAGGTATATTCTTTTTTATGTGGATGAAATGTTCTATAGATATCTGTTAATCCCAGTTGGGTCATTACTTCTATTAGACCCTTTGCTTCTTTGTTGAGTTTCTGTCTGGTATTCTTGTCTAGTGGTGAGAGTGGTGTGTTGAAATCTCCCACTATAACTGTGTGGGGCTTTAGATGAGATTTAAGTTCTAATAATGTTTCTTTAACGAATGTGGATGCCTTTGTATTGGGGGCATAGATGTTCAGGATAGACACTTCGTCTTGGTGGGTTTCACCTGTGATGAGTATGTAATGACCTCCTTCATCTCTTTTGATTGATTTTATTTTAAAGTCTAGTTTGTTAGATATTAGGATTGCTACCCCTGCTTGTTTCTTGGGTCCATTTGATTGAAAAATTTTTTCCCAACCTTTAACTCTCAAGTAATGTCTGTCTTTGAGGGTGAGGTGTGTTTCTTGTATGCAGCAGAAGGAAGGGTTCTGTCTTCGAATCCATTCTGCTAGTCTGTGTCTTTTTATGGGTGAGTTAAGGCCGTTAATATTGAGGGATATTAATGACCATTGATTGCTCATCCTTCTTCGATTTGCGATGGTTGTTGTTGGTGGAATTATGGGTGGAATTTCGCCCCTTTGTTCTTTTGGCTGTTGGTAGAGAGGGATTCTCTAATGCTTATGTTTTTCTGGTTGTAGTTAGCTTCCTTGGGTTGGAGTTTTCCTTCCAAAATTTTCTGTAGGGCTGGGTTAGTGGACACATATTGGTTGAATCTAGTTTTGTCATGGAATATCTTGTTTTCTCCGTCTATAGTGATTGAGAGCTTTGCCGGGTATAGTAGTCTGGGCTGGCATCCATGGTCTCTTAGTGTAGGTAGAATATCTATCCAGGACCTTCTGGCTTTCAGAGTTTCCATGGAGAAATCAGGTGTAATTCTGATAGGTCTGCCTTTATATGTTACTTGACCTTTTTCCTTAGCTGCTCTTAATATTCTTTCTTTATTCTGTATGTTTGGGGTCTTGATTATTATGTGGCGAGGGGAATTTTTTTTTGTGGTCCACTCTATTTGGTGTTCTGTAGGCTTCTTGTACCTTCATTGGCATGTCTTTCTTAAGGTTGGGAAAGTTTTCTTCTATGATTTTGTTGAATATGCCTTCTGCCCCTTTGAGGTGGATTTCTTCTCCTTCTTCTATACCTATTATTCTTAGGTTTGGTCTTTTCATGGTGTCCCATAATTCCTGGATGTTTTGTGTTAAGGATTTGTTGGATTTAAGGTTTTCTTTGGTTGATAAATCCATTTCTCCTAATGTATCTTCAACACTTGAGATTCTCTCTTCCATCTCTTCTATTCTGTTGGTAATGATATAAGCCATTCTTACTCATGAACAGTTAATGTCCACGGGTACGAATGGAATGGGATCTTCTCATACACATGGCCCGTGCTTATTGAGTACTCTGAAAAGCGTGTCTTTGAAATAAACCCTTGTCTGCATTGTACACCAGCTCTTCTCCAAATTGGTTAATGTGGTGTGATGTACAAAGAGAGCATAACGTGGAACAGTTTCTTGATGTGTACTTTGTGAAATACTGTCCCTCAAGCACCTGCTCCTTCTGAAAGCAGTTTGAGGGGAATGTTCTAGAGACTCATTCTGGGGATAGAGCCTGATTACAGTGTTTAGTGATGTTCCTGGGTAATAGCTTATGTATATTCCCTGCCTTGGACGGAATCACATTAGAACATGTAGGGCCTTTGACTACAGTGTTAGTAGTTTCTTTGTAGTTCACAGGTGATGGGCAAATGACTTAATTTTAAATAAACATTTTTATGTCTTACCTTTGTGTTTGTCATTCATATTGTTAATATTTCTGAAGGACTGTGAGGATTCCTAAATAAAATGTCCTTTAAATCATACTCAGTATGTAATTGATGCCACATGTGATTATTTCATTTTATTGCACAAACTTGGCTAGAATATAGTATAGCAGGCATCTCAACTTATATTCCCTGCTGCACCTAAGCTCTGCTTCCTTCTCAGCTGTGCTGAGAGTTGGCCAGGGGAGACAGAGGAAGTGTAGGAAGTAATGACTGCAGAAGCAGCAGCAGTTGATGGTGATGGCTATATCCTAAAGTGCTCTCTGACTGGGGCAATCTGAGAGCTTGAATCGTAATAAATACAAATAGATTATTAGTTTTTCGTTATCTACAGACAACTAGTTGAAAATGCTGTGATGATGGAGAGGGTTGCAAATACAATTGTGCAATTTTGGTTGCATGATAATCCACCTCACTCTTCCAGGTACCAAAGCAGTCAGACTCACAGCCGGTTTCTGACAGCCTGAGTCGTCAAGGTGACTGTGGCAAGAAGCAAGTGTCTTACAGAACTGATATTGTTGGTGGTGTTCCCATCATCACTCCAACTCAGGTAACAAATTAATGCTCTGTTGAATGTAGGTCTCATGACTGCATATTGACACTTGTATTTTCATCAAAACTGAGCAGATTGTCTTTGCTGAATTAATTATTAACTACAAAAGCTTTTAATTTAGTTTCCTATTCTGAAAGTGTTTTGCAAACTTTGTGTTTAGTCATCAGAAGTTATTCTCTATCACTTTTAATGGCGGCAGGGTTCTGCTGTGGATTTACCATGATTTATAAGCTTTTACTGATAGACAAATGGAGGGCTTCCCTTCCTTCTCTTCTCTTCTCTTCTCTTCTCTTCTCTTCTCTTCTCTTCTCTTCTCTTCCCTTCTTCCTTTTTCCTTTCCTTTCCTTCTTTCCTATGTTGTGATAAACATTCTTTTATCTTAAATGTTGAACAGTAATGCTGGGGGCCTATGCATGTTATGCTAGAGCCTTACCACTGAGCTATATCTTAGTTCTTTATAGAGTTGTCCTCAAATATACTTTGTAGCTCAGATCAGCCTTGAACCTTAGCTCCCCCTGCCTCTGTTTTCTGAGCAGCAGAGGTTACAGGTCTACATCAAAATAAATTCATTCTTGGAAGTAAAGATGCTGGGTGAGAGTCTGCAAATATATGTAATTTTTTTAAACTTGTGCGTGTATGTGTGTGTTGTTCCGTGCAACCTGAGGATTGCAACTCTGGCTGGATTGTATCTTAAAAGTACTGATGTGCCTAGGTATTAGGAAAAATAAATTTATGTAATTAAAAAAATGAACCTGAAACTTTTATATGCAGTTAATTTTCTTATATTGCTATTGAGGAAATGCACTTTTTTATTTTTTAATGAATATGTTTTACAAATACACTGGAGAATTATGCAGTACTGCCTGCATTGGATGCAGTCCTGGACCACAAGTCTACATATTCCTTTGCAACTGGACCTGTAATAGCAGAACCTTTCATCTCACTTTTATTGTTTACTATGACCCCTGCATTGTCTTAGAAAAGAAAATAAGGACCACTTCACAAATTTGCAAGTCATCCTTGCCCAGAGACCATGCTAATCTTCTCTGTATGGTTTCAATGAGGAAATGTACTTTTAATGCAAATTAAGTTAGTAATAGTTGGTGAAATAAGAATTTAAGTGATGGCTATTGCCAGTGTTAAATATTCTCATTACTTTTGTCTTTTGATCTTAGAAGACTTTGATGTTTTGTAGACCCCTCCCCTACTAGCTCCCCACCCCCCAGGACAGGGTTTCTCTGTGTAGTCCTGTGCTGCGACTGCCTCGACCAGAAAGGAAGATGCGACTCGGAAACTCTTCTCCAAGCGGTTTATTCAGGAACCTTGAAACAGTCTTCTGACCCCGGGGAAAGCCAACCCACAGCTTATATGGCCTAGGCATAGCCAACCCTAGCACGCCACTTGGCGATAGCAGATAGGTCCACATACACGGAAGCAAGCCTGGATCCAAGCCTTGGCCAAATATGGAGTTGTTTACTCAGAAAGCCGGGAGGGTGGTAGGCGAAGCCAGTGCCATCTTTAAGGCGCGGCACGTCACAGCTCTCCACAGTTCCCCCTTCTTTAATTAAAGACAGAATGGGTGAAGATAGAGGCCCGATCCCTGGTGTGCAGACCTGGGATAATGTGCTGGTGATGCCCACAGACTCTACGCTTGTGGTGACCCAGACCCATCCCGTACCTATTTTCCCAGGGGAAGGATCTCGGGTACAACCTTCATGCAATCGGGCTTGTCTTCTGAGGGTAGCTTAACTGCTTACAAGCAAACCCTTGTGCAGTGCTTAGCCTCGCACCCCGGTCGGAGATGAATTTCAGTTCTTAATAGCGGCCAACCAGGCCTGGGGGGACTGTCCTGCCTCTATGGCCGTAAAGGCTTGGGTGATCATGGCTGCATCACACTGTTGTGTGACTCTAATCTTGCAAATATACCATAGGCAAACCAGGGAGACCAGTACCAAAAGGCCTGTAAGCGCCCCCAAGCCCGCCCATTCCTTTAGATGGTCCATGGCGGAATTTAACCAGGAAGTCAGGCTGCTAGCAAGGGACAGGTCTACTTGAGTGGAGTTCACATGCACAATAGCCATCCTGAGTTCTCTCATGGTATCTTCAAACTCAGATGTCCAATTCTGTAATAAAAACGGAGACAATCTTTTAGACAGGTTTGCTGCGTGAGTGAAATTTTGATATTGTACCGATGTAACACATAGTCCAGCCATTCTCCACTCACATTCCAGTTGGGCTAACTGCCACAGAGTATCAATCTGTTCCTGCACTAAATCTATGCGCTGATTAACGATCATAAGACCTCCTTTGACCTGCGAATTAAGCGAAGCTTGGAGGTCTAATGCATTAGCAACATTGACAAAGAGATTATTTAGAACATTTGCAATCTGCACCATGCCTGACAAGGCCACCGCGGAAACAGTGGCACTCACAGCAGCAACGGTGATGGCTGTCACTATGGCTGTTGTTATGCCAAAATCTCTCTTCTCTCTAAACAATGTCAACTGCTGGGAGCTTCCACGGGCACAGGCACATAACGAGGCAAGTGGGTAACCACCGCCAGAGGGAAGGCCGTAGCATTCCAGCACAGAACATAAAAGCATGTGGTCTGATTACAATGGAGTTCACTGGCATTTGTGCTACCATTGCTCACCAGCCATACAAATGGCGGCCAAACGCACACAGGGGTGGGTAAAAAGGTGGTATTATGAACGCTCTTCCACTGAAAGGGGGAACTTGAGGTTACATCTCCTCCACTCTTGTAGGAGTGGGTAGGATTCCTAGTGCCCCCCCAACCATTGCCAAAGGAGATAAATCCATACAACTCCCATTGATTCCACATAACAGCCAAATATTAAAGGCATCTAACTTATACCAATGTGGGGAGGACTCATTGACAGGTGCCTGAGAACTATTTACACTTATATCAGGGGAGAAGGAGAAATAATTCTCCTTTGCCCAAATGATCTCCCTACTCTGGTAGCCTGACCATGGAAGGCTTCCCTGGCACTGAGGGCCGTCTATGAAAAAGGGGGCCAACATGGGTTGGAATGGTGGGTAACCAGATCCTTCTTTGGCAGGCCACCACCCCTGAATCCAGGATACATTCCTTCCCTGTGACACATCCCAGCCTGCCCGCCCCCCCCCCCACGGCTTGGTACTTGAGGAGAATGCACCCCGAGCTTGTATTACTTAATAGAGAGAAACATAGGCTGCCCTGCAAATCAAAATGGCGTGTATCCTCAATGTGGCTAATCTGCTCATCTCGGGGTAAAAAGGGGAGATCTAAGCTGCGATTGGAAACAAATAGGTGTGGAAAAACCCTCGCATTATGCATCACCGGCATGGGCTTAGGGAATACCGACAGAATACCCCATCTTTGTGCTTCTATTCCCGGCTGGCTCATCATGAGAAGGAGTAGGAGGGTTATCATGCTGGCGCTCGAGATGTTCTCTGTGTTGAATCCTTCTGACCAGGCGTTCGGGCACCCTGGATCTTGCTGGTCCTGTGGAAAAACACAAACAGAACCTCATGCCCACGTCAGCACAGGATCAGGCCTGCGCCAGAGGCCTGTCAGAATATCCTTCCACTTCACTATCCCTTTGACTGGGCCATGTGGATCCTGATGTCTATCAGCCGCAAAGTGGCCTTGGGCATCCAAATTTTAAAAATTGATAGTGAATAAGGTGAGAGAAAGCCTTTCCTTAGGGGTGCGGCCTTGGCCTACTCTCCCCTTTTTGTTTTTCTAGACATTCTTTCAAGGTACGATGGGCATGCTCCACAATACCCTGACCCTGAGGGTTATAGGGCAATCCATGGAGTAACTGTACTTCCATTTGCTGGCAGAAAGAGGCAAAGGTTTGTGCCGTGTAGGCTGGTCCATTGTCAGTTTTTAGCTGGCTGGGTTTGCCCCAGGCAGCCCAGGCTTCAAGGCAATGTGTTTTAAAATTGCCCGCCTTTTCACCTGTCAAGGGTGTCACATGCATGATACCTGAGCAGGTATCCACAGACACATGTACATATTTGAGATTTCCAAATTCAGAGACGTGAGTGACGTCCATCTGCCAAATTTTGAGGGGGAGTAACCCCTGTGGATTAATTCCATAACTGGGCGGGTGATGATGAATTACACATTGAAAGCAGTCCAGGACCACTTGCCGAGCATCAGCTCGGGAAAGGTGGAACTTTTGTTGTATGGTCTTAGCATTCACATGAAAATTCCTATGAAAGTCTCTTGCCTTATCTAAGATGGAGCCAAGGAAAATAAATTCCACTCTAGTCCATTGATCAACCCAATCATTGCCCTCGCTAACAGGACCCGGAAGGCCTGTGTGTGCTCTAACATGCTGTATAAAAAGGCAATTTTTTCTACGCCAAATTAAATTTTGAAGCTGCTGAAACAACAAACAAACCAGACTACTGGTCTTTATAGGGCCAGCAGCCTCTAACATTTTTACAGCATTAACAACATAGGCAGAATCAGATATTAAGTTAAAGTCCTTGAAGACTTTTATCACAATCTTTAACTCCACTAGTTGAGGGGAGCCGGGGTGGAACTGATGCAGTACAGGTTGTTGTGCCCCCACCATATAGGCTCCACAACCCGTTTTGAAGCCATCTGTTAACACATTGGGGGCACCTGGGATTGGTGTACTTGAAGTTATCTTTGGGAAAATCACAGGGTGTTCCTTGAAAAATCCTAACAATGGATGTTTAGGGTAATGATTATCTATATCTCCATTAAATCCGCATTGCAGGATGGCCCAATCATCGATTGTGGTGCAAAGAATATGGACTTGATGACTGGAATAAGACACCACAATCATTTTAGGGGCTGTGCCAAAATATTGTAAGCACTGTTGGATGCCATTTAAGGCTAATTTTGCCACTGCAGTGGGATAATACTCAATGAATTTTGCAGGAGATATTTTGGGGTATAACCACAATAATGGCCCCTCTTGCCAGAGCAAGCCTGTAGGTTGATAATAAGTAGGAAGGATGCACATAATGATGGGTTGTCCCTCTCTACATCTCTGTAAAAAGGCACCTTGTAGCCTTTTTTCCACCCTCTGTAGGGCAGGCCTTGCCTCAGGGGTCAACTGCCTAGGGGAATCTAAAGCCGGATCTCCATTCAATACATCATTCAGAGGTTTTAACCCATAATTCGGTAGCCTTAAAAAACATCTAATCCACTTTATATCTCCTAATAATTTTTGAAAATCGTTTGGGTCTTTAAATTATCCTTTCTCAATTCTACCTTTTGTGGAACTACACAACTCTCATTAATTTTGGTACCTAAGTAATGTATAATTTTTTCCTTTTGAACCTTTTCAGGGGCAATAAATAGCCCTTTTCCTTCTAGTAATTTCACTAGTTTTACATCGGCCTTCTCCAGTGGCTCTTCCGCTTTTGCAGCCAATAATATATTGTCCATATAATGGAAACATCTTAGGGTAGGGAATTCTTTTCTCAGCGGCTTAATGGTCTGCCCGACATAAAGTTGGCACATGGTGGGGCTATTGGCCATTCCTTGTGGCAACACCACCCATTCGGATCTCTGATTGGGTTCTTCGTGATTCTGAGATGGAAGGATAAAGGGGAATCTTTCACTATCCTCTCCAAAAAGAGGAATAGAGAAAAAACAATCTTTTATACCAATCACAATAATATGCCAGGACGCCGGCAAAGCAGAGAGCAATGGTAGCCCTCGTTGTACTGGGCCCATGGGCTGCATCTGATTATTGATGGCTCTTAGATCATGTAGCAGGCGCCATTTTCCTGACCTTTTTCTAATAACGAAAATGGGGGTGTTCCACGGAGACAAAGATGGTTTAATAAGACCTAATGCTAGCTGTTCAGCCACCAGGGCCTTTGCCACATTCAGTTTTTCAGAGGACAGCAGCCCCTGAGGAACCCATACAGGCTCCTCTGTCTTCCAAGTAATGGGAATTCCTTCCTCAGTGGCCCCTAGGAAAAACCCAGACCCTGCCTGGAATCTCTCTGCTGCATTTGGATTGGCTCCCTTCTTCCTTGTAGGTACCTCCCTATTCCATAAGTGGGATGATACCCCATGGTTTTCATCATTTTTTGG